GCAGACTTGACCAGGAGACCGCGGCCCCTCCGTGGACGAACACGTAGCTGCCCGTGCTTGTCCAGTTCTGCTTGTCGCCGGTGTCGTTGGCATCCACGTAGCCGACCAACTTCAGCGACTCTGGCACACCGTCGAACTCTAGGGCTGTGTCACGACTGTTGATGAGCTAGGCAATGCAGTGGTCAACCTCACGCCGGTGCTGGTCGCTCCTCACTGTAAGGCCGCTCCCCAGCTTGCTGTAGGCAAAGGCGATGTCTGGCCTCGTCGTCGTCGCCGCGAACTGCAGCGAGCAGACCTTCTGTCGGTACTCCTCATGGTGCTCCTGTGCCTCCTCGTTGTTGAACATCAGCTTGGCGTAGGCGTCGACGGAGATCAGCGTCTTTGGGGTGCGCCCGTTCTGCTCCTCATTGATGAAACGCCTGCGCGGCTTCTGAGCATAATTCTGCTTGTGCAGCCACAACTTTGTCGCTGACCTCTCGCACACGATCTCAAGCTCGAGGTACTTCTCCACTAGCAAGATCTTGCGCAGCTCGAAGGCAGCCTCCAATAGCTCCTTAAGCTCCTTCAACATCGCAGTGCTGCTACTGGCGGCAATTAGGTCATCGACGTAGACTAGCACTTAGCAGGCCACTCCGTCGTCGGTGACCTTGAAGTAGAGAGCTTCGTCGACTTGGCTCTTCTTTTAGCCGGCGGCGATCAGCACGCCGTTGAGCGCCTTGTACCACAACTACTTCAACCCGTACAGAATCTTTAGCTGCTTGCACACTCGGCCAGTCCCGTCATTGTAGTAGTCCCACTGGTACATGTATAACACCCTGTCGAGCTTATTCTGCACGAAGGCGTTCTTCATGTTGAGCTGCATTAGGTTGAGGTCGAGGATGGCGACGACGCTGAGGAAGATTCTCAGCATGACGTAGCTGGTTACCGGCGCGTACGTCTCATCGTAGTCGGCGCCATACACCTGCGTGAATCCCTTCACGACCAGCCTCGCCTTCTCCCGGGTGACCGTGTCCTCGACACGGTACTTGGTCATCAGAACCATGATGTTTACCCCACGTGGGCGTTCGACAAGCTCCCAGGTGCCCATGCCGATGAGGCTGCAGATCTCCCCGTCCATGGTGGCCTTCATCGCCTTACCCTTCGAGCTCACCAACGCCTCCTTCACCGTCATCGTTGCGATGTCCCAGCGGTGTTTGGGGTCCACGTGCATGTCAGGGTCGAGCTCCGGCAAGTCGGCATCGTCCTCGGCGTCGTCGTACAGCGGCTCATCCTCAACGTCGTCATGCAGGGTGGTGAAGGCGGCTAGTGGCAGGCACACGTGGTAGGCTAAGAACTCAGGCGGCCTTCGAAGTTGACCTGAACATCGCGGTCCAGGCTCTTTGGCGTCGACCTCCACTACGATGCTGTTGATGGACTCCGTGCCCCCCGAATGCTCCCCCGCATCGACGCTGGCTCCACTGCCCTCGTCGGCATGCTGCACAACAGTTGGCGTCCCTGCCGGCTTCTCCCCTGTGGTCGACTCCCCCGCGAAGTACCCGGCTGCCGATGGTTCCTTGGTCGGCATCCCTGTTGGCTGCTCCCATGTCTGCAGCTTTTCTGCCGCAACCTTCTTCACCGGCTTTAGCAAAGTTGGCTGCTTCCTCTCCACCCACTGCTCCCCTATTGTTAGCGGCTTCTTTCCCAGGCCAACTTGCTCGACGTCACGTCGGCCACCGGCGATGCTCTTGGTCGGCACCACAGGTGACGTCCCATTGCTCCCCTCATCGCTGGAGGTTGATGCCACCGTTAGCCTCTACGGGTCGGCTATAAGGGGTGGGGTATGGGGGACAGGGGAAGAGAGAGAAGGGAGGACGTCCTCGGCATCCTCATCATCTGGCTCGCCGACCTCGGTGAGCAGAGGAAGGATTGCCGTTGAGGTGTTTGTCAGGGGGTTGGCGTGTGTCCGCCCAGATGCCAGCCCGTGCTCCAAATTCCACACCTCCAGTGACGTCGTCTCGTCGGACACCACGTCCGACGTGGTGACCACCCTATTGTCTGTAAGGTCGAGGAGCTCCCAGCCCTTTCTCTCCTCCGACACACTGAGGTGAAGGCCCCACCTGGCCTTCGGCTTGAGCTTTGCACTACGCTGCTGCTCGGGTGTCAAGTCGGGTTTCTTGCCGGTCAGCAGCTGGTAGAGTTGTTCTTGGCGGCAGCGGTGACCTCTCCAGACAGTTGTGCACCCAGACGGCATGGCGCAAGGTGAGGTGCCACCAGTGGTGCTGCACGCCCATGTGCATCAGCATCGTCCGCACCGACTCCACCACGATCCGCATCTCCTGCTCGACCATGCCGTTCTGCTGCAGTGTGTAGGGGCAAGTCAAGTCGTGGACAATTCCCTTGCCGTCCACGAAGTTGGTGAACTCCTTCCTGAGGAACTCCCCTCCCTAGTCAGAACGAAGCATCGATATTGACTTCTTCGTCTGCCGCTCAACCACCACCAGCCACTTCTCAAACTCCCGCAGCACGTGAAACTTCTTGGCGACCGGCCTCGCCCACACGTAGCGGGTCTTGTGGCCCTTCAGCAGCAAGAAGTAAAGGCTCCCGTCCTTTGCAGCCACCCGAAACGGTCCGCACAGGTCGATGTGCACAACAGTCAAGGCGTCGTTGGCGTCCGAGCCCTTGTCGGGCAGGTGCACCGCGCCAGCTTCACGCCGACGCACAAGACACATGGAGCGTCGGTGCTGGGCGACGGCATGATGTCCCGGCCGGTGGCGACCTCGTGCTTCGCCGAGCTCGTGATGGTGTCAATGCCGACTTGAGGAAGCCTCGCGTGCCACCTGGCTAGCATCAACGTTGCCGCCAGGATGATGGTCCGTACGGTCACCACCTCCGTCGTGGCCGGCGTCGACTTTGCCGAGCAGGGACAAAGGTCGGTGCCGAGAACCTGGCCAGTCTATGTTGCCCGACCTACGACGTTCCCCGCCGCCGAGACCTGAAGCATCCCGTCATTGTTGTCCTGCAGCTTCACACCGCTCTCCTTCAGCTGACCAGCTGATAGCAGGTTTGCCTGCATGCCCGGGACGCAAAGCACGTTGGGGATAAGCACCTGCTTCCCGACCTCTCCTTGCAAGGCAACGTGCCACGACTCTGGACGTCGTGTAGCGCCTTGTTGAAGCCACGCACGTATTTGACATCGCTGCTAGGTCCCAAGTCCACGAAGGCCGCCTTCGTCCCCATCAGATGGTGCAAGTAGCCACTATCAAGTAGGACCACCACCGGGTTCGCTGCACGGCTGCTGCCATTGTGTGGAACTCCTTGCCAGCCTCCGGCACCAGCGAGATGGTCGGCCCTACGACGCTGACCAGCGAGCACGACGCCACCCCGTCACCTCGCCCTTGCTGCCTGAGGAGGGGTCGGCGTCCTTCACCGACGTTGACCTGGTCAACTCCTTCTCCTTGCGCGGCTTGTTCTCCCGACCTGCGGATGTGCAACGACCGATCGATCTCTCTCAGCCTCCCTTGGCATCGCCTCATTCAAGTCGGTGTAGTCGGGGTGCTTGAAAGAGAGGTGGTTCGGGTCACCGCCCATCTGCAGGTGCGTCATCTGCTCTTCTAGCTGGCCGATGTACAGGTCGTCGGTGACCTGGTACATCGACGTGATGAACTGCCACGCTTGGTGACCAGCGTCCAGGTGACTCTGGCACGACCACAAGGCAATCTGCACCACCGGCGAGCAGCACCACGAGATGACCGTGAAGGTCAGCAGCTGCATGGCACGGAACTCTGCACGCAACTCGATGTTACTCACAAGCGGCATCTTTATGGTGTCGTCGATGAAGCACATCAGCCCGGCCTGTTAAAGACTAAGGACGGAGTCTACGAAGATTAGGTGCCTAAAATTCTCAAAATCGTTGGCTTAGAATTCTGGACAGAAAATTCGCGCTCACAAGAAACGCCGTCGACAAAACGTTCACGATCAAAACTTCACCAAAACTCGTTGTAGCTCTACTCCGTGGCTACAATTCCCAAGTTGAATCAAACAAAAAGGTGAAGTATTTTTTGAGTTATCAATTTCGGCGCACTAGTGGGTATGCTGCCATAGAATCTTAACTCAATCACAAGAGTCTCACACAAGTTCATAATTACTACACAAGACAGTTTGAGTAGCACTAAACCAGGTGGAAGGGATGAGGAGGATGAGAGGGAAGATCCCCAAGGAGTCCCCAACCAAGGAAACCCCATAAGCACACCAAATCCCTTCCCTATAAGAACCCCCATTTCACTTTTGTCACTTTCCCAACCCATGCCATCCACCTTGCCCAACTTGGCCACACTTGCCAACCTGGTTTGGCTCCTCCCTACGACTTGGCAGCATCCACAGTGATGTTGACGAATTTACCAACCCCCAAAAGTCTGTACCCCATATGGAGTCAACCCCACAACTCCCCATAGTCACCACAACCAAATATCAAAAGCATACGAACGTCAAACGTTCGTAACTTTCTTGTTCGTGCTCTGATTGAAGCGATACTTGGTTCGTCCAAAAGCTCTTGAGCAGAGGAGTCACTTCAGATATCTGCTCAAGCCAAATAACATCTAAACACACACTCAGAAAAACCAAACCGCACAAAACACAAATTCTTGCACACGCTCATACCACGCATGCAGCGCACGAACACATGATGGGAGGCAGACAGACGCGAGTGCATATGATTGCATCACACAACACGGCCATCTCCAGCTGGGGCTTGATGGACTTGTTCCACGTGAGAAGGTCGTGTCGACCTTCTAGGGGCGCCGTGACCAGCACCTTGTCTGGCGTGAACTTGAAGTACCCATAGGTCCGCACAATCCCTCTTGGAGTCACGTGGGTTGACAACGCCGGCGTCACACTGCACTGGCAGTCGACCAGCTTGCATGCTAGCATCAAGTGCGTGCATGGCACTCACCTGATGCGTGAGAGAGCATGAACGGTGCACAGGGCGCTACAGATCATGTCCTCATTGTGGTCCACCTCCTGCTTCACGGCGTCATGCAATCCCCACCACCACATGACTCACCTGCTTCTTCTAGCCACCCCACTTGCTTGATCCAAGCACGCGCATTCTCACCTGATGCACGAGAGTGTGTGCACGACACCCAGGGCACAGCGGATCATGTCGTCATTGCACCACACCACCACACCACCTGCTTTTTCCTGCCACACCTCTCACCCGGTCCAGGCATGCAGGGCACTGTGCATCATGTCCTCATTCCGGCCCACCTTTTGCTTCACAATGTCGTCGCATTTCATACCACCACAACCCTCACCTGGCTCTTCCTGCCATGCCACTTACTCAATAGAAGCAAGCACATCTCACCTAATCCGGGACAGAGCATGCACGACACGCAGGGCGCTGCGGATCATGTCCTTGTTTTAGTCCACCTCCTGCTTGAGAGCGCTCCTTGTGGTCCCCACCACCACACCAGTCACATGCTTTCTACCACGCCACTCACTTCACCAAGCAAGCACATCTCACCTAATGTGACACAGAACATGCACGACGCGCAAGACACTGAGGATCATGTCCTCATTGCGGTCCACCTCCTGCTTCATGGCATCTGCCTTGACTCGTATTGTCACAGTCTTCTCTAAAGGCTCCACTGGTGCATCCACCATTGCCAGCACCGACGGGGCGCACTTCTCTACCAGCTTTGCCAGCACCAGATGGCACGGCATCTTCAAATCGCTGTTGTCTACAATAGATGATGGTGAAACCGGGTGAGGGGATGGGAGGGGGTTGATTGAGGGAAGGGGCCAAGAATTGAGGGATTGAAAGTGGGAGTAAAGGATTTTCATGAGACCGGTGTTGGATGGGAACGCTTTAGGCATTCGTGAATGTGCTTGTGCTAAGTGGGCAAAGAGCAGTTGCTGTGTCAAGAGGGTATATGCACCGGAGAGCCCAGAGATGAGGAAGGGGGTGATGAAGGCGGCCGGCTGGATGCGGTGCAGACAGGTGGAGAGGAGCATGTCCATGCAGTCACAGGCTGCTTCTCGTAGCTCCAGCCCATTGTCCACTGTATACAACGGGCACAGATGAACGGTCCGGATCATCTCAAGGTGGGGAAGTGGGTAATCAAACAAGTAACAGACCATTACTCAGCTTATTGAAGGGGAAATAGAGATAAAGCTTCCCTCTTGCCGTAGTAACAATCCAAAATGTGGACCCATCCCTTTTGCCACACCCATACTGTCAGCTCGCACCTTGACCCTCATCTGGTCATATAGCAGCGGTAGCAGCTCTGGTAGAAGGTCCTCCACCAGCCCTGGCCTCGCACCTTACACTCTCATCTGCTCACACCTTCATTTGCATCTGCTCATACCTGCAGCCACCAGTCTATACCTTGACTCGCATCCGGTCGTACTGTAGTGGCAGCAGCTGTGGCAGAAGGTCCTCTACTAGCCCTGGCTTGTTCTGCACTGCTGTTGTAAGTGCCAGCACCGCTGTGCGCCGCACATGCTGCAGTGGAAGAGAGACAAGGACAGCGCGGGAAATAGCTCAAGTGGGGAATGGCGAAGCTCAACATACTCCAGCCCCTGCTGCCCGAATCTCCAAACTTTGGCATCAAACAAACCCTATCCCGCAACCTTCACACCTTTTCCTCACCCTGTGAGAGTCCTGGAGCAGGAAGTGGACAGAGGCGAGGTGCGGTTTGAGGTGCTCATCGATGGGCTGTGCTGTGTCAGTGAGAGTGAACTTCAGTGCCACCACTACCGTGGCTTGTGTGAAGGCTGATGGGCTGCCTACGTGCTCCTGCCACCATGCACAGGGATGGAGCCATTAGAGGGGGAAAGAGGAAGGAGGTGGATCCATTCGATGTGAGCATCAATGGGCTGTGCGGAGTCAGTTAGAGTGAACTTGAGTGCCGTCACCACCGTGGCCAACGTGAAGGCTGACGGGCTGCTCACTCGCTCTTGGAGACACGCAGGGAGACAGAGAGGTAAGAGTTCTTCGTAGTCTGCTTGCTGACCCCAATGCTCCACCTAGCAGCCAACCCTGATTCAATGCCAGGCTGGATGTTACTGACATTCCTCTCACGAATATTACTTAGCACTTCGTCAGCACGCAAGCCAGACTGGAGCGCGATGATGAATTGCCTCCTCAGGTTTTGCCAGGGTTTCTGGGCGAGCCTAGACAACGAAGATGTATAGGAAACTTCCCTCCCTTCCCAACCCCATCACGCACCTTATACCACGAGAATCCTTGCCAGAGCGGAGGGATTAGTGAAACGTCGTAGCCTGTCCACGCTACTCCAGTTTCGTAGGATTCACTTGCAGTGCTGCAGCAAGACACCCTCCAGCCCAGCATGCACTGCCTGACTGGGTGCACACATTTGCCACAGAAAATTCACCTGCCATCGACGCCCTTGACTTCAGGAGACTCATTGCCAAGCTCTCAAACGGAGTGGAGGCGGGGCCTTCAAGAACCACCTTAGAGCACATTCGTGACGTGGATCTAGGGAACCAAGAGATCTTCACCCACCTTCTAGCTCTCATTAACACGGCGCTGGGGGGGAAGCTGAAAGGAGACGCGGCTGACCTCCTCACCGCCTCCCGCCTCTTAGCCTTCATGAAGCTGCGAGGAGGGACGAGGCTAATCGCGGTGGGCGAGTGCCTGCTGCTCTATGGCTGCACTATTCCTGACGGCATTGGCTGCACGAGGGCACTTCACCCCCATTCAGTTCATGGTAGCAATAGCAGGGGGAATTGAAGTAGCTATTCAAACAGCACGTACGTTACCTTGAAGTTCAACCGGGAGCGGTGGCGCTATAGATAGACCTCGCCAACGCTTTTAATGCAGTTGAGAGGAGGGCGTTGTTCAAGGGGCTGAGGAACGAGGCTTTGGAGAGCCTCATACCAATGGTTTGCCTCTCCTATAGGGCCCCTTCCTCACTCTTCCTCGACCAAGACCTCGGTTCGGCTCCTCTGCAGGGCGCCAGAGGAGTCCGCCAAGGGGACCCGCTAGGTATCCTTCTCTTCGTGGCCAGCATCCACCCGTGCCTCGTGGCCATAGCAGCGGCACACCTATTGGTGGTACTGCTCGCCTACGTTGACGACATCACCTTGCTTGGCGAAGCCACAGCATGCACCAGTTACGTCTACGCTCAGCACCCTCAGCTTGGTATACAACCTGGCCAAGTGCGCAGCCTGGTCTACCTCAATGGTTCACCCCACCTCCATACCACTAGGCATCCCCATCTCAGGAGATGGGCTGCAGATTCTCAGCAGCCCCATCGGCACACCCTAGGGCTGCACTAGCGCGGTTAGAGAGAGGCTCGCAGTAGTAGCTGAACCGCTCCCCCTCCTGGCCCAAACGGACCCCCAGCTCAGCCTCCTCCCCCTCATTCGCTGCGTCAGCCGCCGTACCTCATTCCTAGCCAGAACAGCCCCGTTGGAGGTTTTGCGTGAAGTGAAGTGGTCGACTTGGGGAGAGCAACTGCTTCACACCTTCTTGGATGCTGCACACATCGTAACATCGAGGAGGGACGTGGAGAGGAGGCGGATATTGCGTCAGGCTGCGTTACTTATAACACTGGGAGGGTTGGGCATCACTGACCCTGCTTTTGAAGAAAGTTATGCTTACCTCACATCGTTGATCGGCGCCTCCCACCTCCTGCACTCGCTCACTGACACCCTGCATCCCGCAGTAGCTGCCCTCCTCCCCCATATGGACCCCATACCTGACCTTGCGGTCGCCCTGCCTGCACGCCTCGCAACAGCCGGGGCAGCTCTCCCCCCAGAGGCTCTGGAGGCCCTCCAGCGGGGAGGGTGGACCCCAAGGGCCTGAAACTATAAAAAGTCCCTCAGCCTGGCGGTCCACATCCGCCGCTTTATTGGAGTGTTGAATGAAGCAAGGCGGATGCGCCCAAATCTCCTCTTAGGACATGCCCAGCGGATGCAGTCAGCGCTGGGCCCTGGAGCGGGGGACTGGCTCTTGGCGATTCCCCTCATCCCCGCGCTCTCGATGGGCCCCTCTTAGCTCTTAACAACAGCTGCCTTCTGCCTAGGACTCCCCCTACCAGTCCCTAGGCATTGAGATTGCTGATAATGCACCACCTTCTCCGATGACCGCCTCCCCAACCATCTTATGCACTCCGAGAAGGAGAGAGGGAGGATTGCTATCACCATGCTCTTCAGGATGAGATAGCAAAAATCAGGGCTGCAGCGGGCTTCACAGTGCACAAAGAAACCTACGTTTACTTTCTAGTTGAAAACCTTAAGGCGGATGTCACCATCCACCATCCCCTGACTGGAGAGGCTTGGATGTGTGACGTGACCGTCACTGACCCCGTTTCTTACTAGGACGAGAATTGCAACCGAGCTCCTGGGTGGGCGGCTATGGTGGTAGCAACTAACAAGGGAGAAAAGTACGCTCGGAGGAATGCGTGGATAGGCTTCCACGCACTAGCAGTGGAAACATACGACTACCCTTTGCCGGGGGTGATGGCTTACCTGCGGTAGTGTGCAGAGCTGGCGACTAAGCTGTGCTACAACGCAGCACCTACCTCATACGAAGCAGCTAAGCTGCTGACGGAGTACCGCCAGCGCTGGAGCATCCGCCTCTAGTGGGCACAGGCCAATGCCCTGCACTCCAAGACCAACGAGGCCCTGGTTGAGGACGAGCTTGGCATGCAGAAGCCCTTTGCCCCACCTGAGCGAGGGGCAGCTGCACCAGCTTATTTAGCCCCTGTTCAACCACTAGGGTTGGACAGAGGGGCGGGTGTGGGTAGGAGATGATGTGGTAGTTAGGAGGTATGTTTGTTTGTTATTTGTCCTGCATGTGTTCGCATCTACCTTTGTACCACCCCTTAATTAATATAAGGTCCATTTGAGAGAGAGGTGACTTTAGTGCAGGGGGAGGTGAATGCAGTGAAGGGGGAGGTGAATGCAATTAAGGGGGAGATGGCAGCAGTGAAGGGGGGAGATGGCAGCAGCAGCGACGGATAAGGTGGTGATGGGATGGTAGAGTGAACGATTGTTGATGTTGGAGGGGAGGTGGGTTGTGTAGAGGGAGGTGAGTGAGTTAATGCACTTGGCGTTGAAGTTCACGTTATCCTACATTACTCATTATTCTCTCTCCTGCACCCCATGCCCATGTACTCTATTTGTCTCCATCATTGGGCTTGCTTCCCGTCCTGTGCACTCAGTGCAGGTTCCTTCCCATGACTGCCAGCTCAATCTTACGTGTGTAATCCTTCTTGCCAGCTCATGCATATTCAATGCCCCCTGCTCCATTTGTCTCCTCCTGCGAACTTAGCTAGGGACTTGCTTGTCTTACTCTTCCTCTTGCAGTCCCCGTCCCCTGCTCTTGCTGCCCCCTTCCTCCACTCTCCTGCCACACCAGGTGGGCATGCTGCTGCCAGGGCTGCTGATCGCCCTCCTCGCCGCTGCCATCATGTATGCACCCACTTCGTTTTTACCTTATATGTCCTCATTGTTACCTCGCTCTCATGGGGTATGCCTTCACATCTGCACATTTCCCCAACTTTTGTTATGTTCATCAGCAGATTCCCTCACATGCTGTTTGAATTTGAGGCCTCTCTGCTTACTTCCTCTTCCTAGTGATCCACTCGCATTTTCTTTACCTGTCCTCCTATCTTCCTACTCTATAAGTGTTACGTTGTGTTCCCATGTGCTGCCATGTGTTCCCATGTGCTGCCATGTATTCCCATATACTACCATGCGCTCTATTGTGCTGCCATGAAATCCCATGTGCTTCCATGTGTAGGAACCATACAAATTCCCATATGCAGAGAGAAAGTGAAGTTGTTGGGTCCTTCAATGCAAGTATGGCCAAAACAGAGGCAATGGAGATAAGAATGAGGGCGCTTGGCGTGCAGCTGGAAGAGACAAGGACGGAGCTTGCACCAGCCAAGGGGAATTTAAAGGAGGCTGAGAGGAGATGAGTGAGGGAGATGAGGGAGAGTGAAAATCAGGTAGAGTGCAGGCGGCTATCAGAAGATAGCATGGGAGGTGAGTGCTGAGTAAACCGCTTGACAAAGCATGCATAGGTTTAGAGGGCATGTGTGTCTGCTGTTGTTACGATGATCATT